AATTATCAATTTATGCCAAGAAAATATACTATCTATGTGACGGACAGAAAGGAAACAGTCGGTTAAGAAACTGGATTAAAAACTTGGATTTTATCATTTTTTGTAAATCTGGCACGTATTCTATGATTTAATTGTACTCTGATCTAGCACACCCACCAAAATTGTGCGTTAAGATAAGAATAACTTTAGTATCTGTTAGTAAAATTCCACGAAATACATTTTAATTAGGCGCAGAAGTGGCTTGGACATGCGATTTGATTGGTAGATTAGAAGTATATTTATCACTTTCTCAACGCGAATAACATAAAATTTACGTTCTGATATCTATTAACTATTAACTATACGTACATACAACATCACTAATGACCTTGTCAATGAGATATAGAGGTGTCTTCTCATATCTTAGTGATAACAGAAGAGTTGTCATAATCAACAACAACACCAAATTAAAGATCGAATCATTAGGCCAAGGTGTTGCCAGAATTTACTTTGTAAATAGGCACAATGATCCTATCCAAATCCCTCGTGGCTTTACTCTCCGAGATACCGTTAGAAACACCAATATGCGACCCAGGAACATCTATGGATATGGTAGTTTTTTATTAATTGGATCAATAGTTATATGTTGTTTTACAATGGCGTTGAAGTTCTTGCTTTACGAACTCCAATGCAACAATCATTGGAGGGTGTAGATTGGTTTGAATATGATGTAGAAATGGTAGACTAGAAATTTTAAAACACATTTAATACTGTAAATGTATTTGAGTGTTCGTTATATCATGTTTTACACATTTGTTTTTAAAAGCATAGATAAGAATTTTTTTTCAATTAAAAGAAATTTGATTCACTAAATGGATGCATACATAATTAACAAGCTAAAACTGATCTTTAAGTTTTATATCATAATATATTTTCAAATCGCTAAGTGAACGAAAAAAATAAAAAAATAAAAAAAATTTATAGCTGTTTTCAAAAAGGTGTGAACAGACGCAAATAACTATATCACGGGAAATTCAAAACTTTCAAAGCCAGCTCTAATCGGATCTTCAATTTTTACTAATGATAATTTCCCAATTCTACATAGGTATGTGGAAATCGTTGTTCACACCTTTTTGAAAACAGCTGTAAATGCTTTAGATATTCTGATAAACATTTTCCTGTAATAACCAAACTGAGAGTTGGATTGAAATTCAAATAGTAATATCATTAAGTAAAGCTAGTGTGGGCAGGAAATGAAACTGCCACTTTTTTTTATTAGGGATCTCAGCATACATTTCTGAAGCTTTGACCTTTCTTTTGTTTCGGTTATTCAATTCAACCTTTGCACTTTAAATAAACTTTCTTTGTATATCCGGAGAAGACTTAAGAATAGACAGTGAGAAAGAAAGAAAACTTTCAGTGCTTGCATGGTTAGTGTTGGATCCAGGTATCTGTTTAGTCCATTCAATAACAACGATTTTATGCAGAAATATTACGCGACGCTCCGCAAACAACGAATCCAGTTTCCAACCTTTAGTACTATTCAACTTATCATGATGAATCAAAAATTCAATTTGAACCTTTTCCAACAATTGATATAATAAATTTGACTACCTTTAATAGATTTAATAGATTTAATAGAAAAATAGGCATTCAGAAATTAGAATAGTCTGCAAAGTCATGATTGCGACGATTTTCATTAACACGAGTTTAAAAAACAATTATTTATATGATAAGTTATGCAAAGATAAATATTTAATAAATTTTTAATTTTGTAAATATGACAATGTCTAAAGCTATTGTTCAATATAAACAATTTTTCATTTTAATAAAAAATTTTCCAATGATATAAAACATTTTCCTATAAATGAATTTCCGATCTCAAAAAAAAAAAAAAAAAGGATCAGGAAATTAATTCATTTTTGACAAGTATTAACATTAAATGTATAATACATTATCTAATAAGGTAAATACAATTAAATAAACATCTCTCAAATGTTCTAACAATTTGACAAATTTAATCTATATATGGTTTTGTATTCACTAAAAGAAATTATAATTAGGGAATGCGATTTTATTTAATAGTTGTTTTCTGGTAATCTTGGTGATGGTGCACGTTGTAAATCGTGGGTGTTGCCAAACCGCATATTATCAAATTGTTCTTGTTGGTAACGGTCATAATCCTGTGGTTGATATCTGCTGTTCGAATAGTCGTAATATTGCTGTTGAGGTCCAAGGTCTCCTGAAGCGGTAGAGTGCATTGACATTGCATCTTGGTAATCTCCTTCATAATTAACGTAATTTGACGCGAGTAATGATGCGTTGCCTTGGTCGTCATCACCAGTATAAACTTGATGTGTCAAATGTGATGGCCCTTTTTGTTGGTTAGCACGGTCTTGACGTTCAGCGCGTTTATTCCTGCGAAGACGAGCACGTTCCCAATCTTCCCAACGTTTCAATGGAACTTTATTAGCATCAAAACTACCTTCTTTTTTACCATGATCATCGCCACCGGTTTCACCTTCAACTTTTCTGGTTTCACCCCAAGAGAAATCGTCAAAATGCCAATATGCATAAGTTGGTAAAACGAAATTCCATATAGGTAAAGCCAAAAGATAAACAAACATCCATGCGATGTATATTACTTTACGTGTAGTAATTAAAATTAAAATAGCTGGTAAACCAAGAACCATACACAACATCATCAATGGGATAGCTTCAGTGAAATCACTTGGTGGTTTCATGATCATTGCAACAATCAAAGCATAAGTTAATATTATAGCTACAGGAAGGACCACAGTACCAATCAATTCCATAAAAACGACAAATTGCATAGAAAAGCAAAAAGTTCCACAAAGATTTCGGACGAGAACAAGTTCCATAAGGTTGTGAATTGTAGAATTAATCCAACGACGTCTTTGAGAAAGTAAAACCCAGAAATCGTCAGGTACTACAGTTTTACAGATAGCTTGTGGACAGAACATCATTTTACGGTGTGGGAAGTTTCGTAACATAAGGGTAGTTAAGAAACGATCTTCACCAAGAAGTAATAAATTTTTTTGATGAAGGGTTTCAACGGTATTTTGAGAATATTCATGAACAATTTCTGGTTTTGTAATAATTGGTACCCAATCATCATCACCTTTACGAGCTTTGAGACGATACATACAGAAACAACCGGGTAAACAAGTAACACCACCAAATACTGATTCAAAACCTTTACCCAAGTGATGTGAAATGTAGTATTCAAAAACTTGAATTGCCGTTACCCAAGAATCACGTTTGTTGGCAATTTTCGTTTCTCCACATAAACCCATAATGAAAGGATCATTGTACATACAATTAATCAAAAGTCGAAGTGAATTTGGATATACTTTTGTATCAGCGTCCACCATTAAAACGATTTCGAAAAAGTCGGGAGTTACACCCATTAAATGATGAACTTTTCTAAACAAATCATAGTCTAAAGCGCACATACGGTCATTGTATGTAACACGACTAAAGAAGTTCATTAAAATTAATTGAGAATCACGTTTTCCTCTGTTACCAGGCTTTGCTTTGCCTTGTTCTTCAGGAGTACCACATTTTACAACAACAACCATAGGAACACGACGATCTTGATAAGGGAAATATCCGGCATAAACTTTAGCCATATTATGTTGTTTAGACCCAGCAGCTACAGCAATATAACTTTGAGGTTGTGGATCAGAGAACTCAGGTTCTATAATTATTATAATTATATAAAAGGTAAGTTTTAAAATTGAGTTTTATATAATATATATATATAAAATATATAATAATGATAACTTACCAAGTTCCATAAGACCCACACAAATATCAGGAGTACTTTTTTCGTTACCACTACCGACGATGATACCATCACAAATAAGGAATAATAATTTACGATCATCAGGATAGGAAGTAGCAGCCATTGATTCACAAGTACACCTTATACCAACTTCATCTTCAGAATAACAAGTAACAAGTAAAACAGTAAATAAATCTTTTCCAACATCATCCATCGTCATTCCCTTCCTAACAGTACTTGTTCCAGGAACCCAAGGTTTACTACTATTAGCATCTTTGACTTTTGGTTCAAGAGCAAGACGATGGGAGATAAACCAATCAAAAATACACGCCATAACAAATCGACATAAGACGATACTCAAAATGACGGTCAATGAAACGTATAAGAAAAGTTCCGAGGTGAAACATCCAATGGTTTGTTTATCAATGTTTCCGGCATAATATTTGTTAACAAGACAATTAACGGCAGCTTTTAGATCGGCTTTACCAAAGAAAAGTCGAGTAGCATCTCTTCCATATTGAGCATGAGTTGAATTTAAGACAGTACGGATGACTATATCCATCGTATCATTATTAGGTGGATTGGCTGCAATATAATTTTTAAGATTAAGAACATTGCCATCAATAACTAAATAGTGAGATATGTTGCCGACTTGAGTCCAATCGAAGCCAACTTTTTTTGAAGTGTTATGAATACCATAATTATTAAAAGTAGTATCACTAATTGTATTAAGAGGACAAGGACTCGCAGATGTACAAAGTGGCATTGTTACAGCAGCAAATTTTTGGATAGCAGGATCTTGACAACCAGGGATTTTAGAATTATCACGAGAAAAATAGTTTGTAATATCTAGACTATTTTGTGTCTTTGATAAATTAAACAAATCAACATTTGAAGTATTTGTTGCATTAGCTACATTAAATTGATAACCAAGAATACCCAAATGACCGGGAGCGTCACCAAAACGCATAAATAATTGAGGATTATTTGCTTGATCTGGAGGACATAATACAGCAGCAAAGCCAACAGTTAAGAAGGCAACGGTACTACCCATAACTACGGCGATAAAACATAAGGTAACTTTTTCACGCCAAGCTTGCTGCGATGATTTATCGTGGAGACCACCAATAGAAGATAGAAGTGCTCCAGGAGCCCAAAAAGTGACAATTTTAGAGAAAATTACCCAAACATCAAGGGTTTTTTTTTCTTTACCGGGCAACATAGCCGCAGGTGCTTGATATCTTTCGGGTTTGATGAGTGTTTTCCTGCGGTCGACCGCCGAGAGCCTCGCGGAGCCATAACCCGCTTCCATTTTTGTTAAAAATATAGGTGAATTGATTGATTATATTAATTACGCGTTAATTATGATAAGGGGAATAACGTGAACGGGATAAACTGAAGTTATGAACGAAGAATGTGAATTTTTTAGTTTTTTTTTTTAT